TTCTTCTTCTTCTTCTTCTTCTTCTTCTTCTTCTTCTTCTTCTTCTTCTTCTTCTTCTTCTTCTTCTTCTTCTTCTTCTGTAGTTGTTGTTATTGTTTCTGCTGTTGTTGTTGTTCTCAATGTAGCGATGCTGGGTTTTTTTTTTAAATACTGTTGTTATTGTAATTCTGGCAATCATTATTTTCCAGGTGAAGACTAGACCAAAAGACCACGCCTGTGACATCACCTGGTTTCCAGTTAAGTTTGGTGGGAACATCAAGTCAGGTCAAGTTAACAATTTTCCTGGTACGTTCTTACGTCATTAATTGCTCCTTATTCTGTTCTGTCCTCGACAAAGTGGAAATGCTTAAATACACAGTAAATATTTTGACTTGTCTCAACTGGGTACGTATCTGAACTTGTGGTTATAAATAGATTTCAGAATCCCAAAATCGGTATTCTATTTTGAGCTTTCCTCAGGGAAGCACAAAGTAGCGACAAAGACACCCTGAAAAACATGTCTCCGAAGGACTTCAACAACACAAATCCTTCGACCTGGGAGAGGCAGGCCAGCTCCTGACCGACCCTGATTAAGAGCAGCAGTCACAGTTTGCAGCAAGTCATACAAAGCTTCACAAATGAGAGAATTATATTACACTGAAGCCAAGAAGGAGTCTTCAAGCAAAATGTGTCAAAATCTCCCCTGTCAGAATTGATCTTTTCGGCTATTGCAGAGGCTACAAATCTATCTCGTATTTCCTCTACGAGTATTTCACATAAGAATTTTTTCCTACAAATTCATTGGTCATCGTCAGGTGCTGGTGGATAACCCATTATTATTATAACGTATGGGTATACGCATCCCATACGTGCATAAAAAGGATCCAGGTTTTCTTGAACAAGTGTCTGAGGAGGCTGCTGAGATTCAAATGGACAGACAGGATCACCAACGAGGAAGTATTAAGACAGAGCCCGGTCAGAGATGAGGTGGGAAGAAGACGTTGGCGATGGATTGGACACACTCTCAGGAAGTCAAGCAGCTGCATAACAA